CTAGCCAAAATCCACAACCGAGGACTGTTAGTGTGATTAATGAAGCTATGATGATGGAAAGGAAAATTGTGCCTGGGGAAGGAAACGAACACATGATAACTGATATGGGGGAAGCTGACATTTCTGAAGCACGCGTTGTATCTCATCCAGAGCAGAATAACACGGATGATACATATTCCAAGGATGTACCCCCTGAATCGTTAAATTCAAATTGCACGAATACTCCAGTAGATAATGGTGATGACTTGAAATCTGCTGTAGAGACTCTTGAAAATCCAAAACTATCTGTCAGCCGTCTGAGTTTCTTACCTGAGTTGATTGCATCTGTGAAAAGAGCAGCATTAGAAGTATCTGAAGAGGCAATGGTTGAAGAAACCGCTCTAAGGAGACCTGATTCAGTAGGAAAAAAAGAGACAGCTAATGAGCTAGGCTCCTTGGTTAGGACAAAGCAATTGAGCAATTTTATTTGACATTTGACAATATTTTTTCATTGTATTTGTTTATGTTTTTGTTTTTTTCTTTGCCGTACAGAACGCCCATGGGGAACCTGAGTTGGAAACTGGGAGTGAGAATCAAAGCTCCACAATTGAGCCAACAAAGGCTGAAGAAGAAGCCATTTCAAGAGGATTACAAGTAAACTTATAATTATGCTCATCTTCTTTCACCTCATACTTTTGTCCGTTTCTGGAAGGCGCTTTGGCTATTCCTTGTGTTCATTTATGACTTTGCTTATGCTTTTCACTCGTGCTTTGATGCTTTATCTTTGTATTCTTTGTTTAGACGATTAACAATGATGATCTGGAGGAGATTCGTGAACTAGGGTCTGGGACTTATGGTGCTGTTTATCATGGGAAATGGAGAGGTTCTGATGTTGCAATAAAGAGGATAAAAGCTAGCTGTTTTTCTGGACGACCCTCAGAAAGGGAACGTCTGGTAGAATCTTGGACTTATTGCTCTTCCTTTCACTAGGCATTTATGGTTCCGTTGAATGAAGAACTTGGTCCATATCTTGCCATATGCTTGTTACTTGTTTGTGTAACCAAATATTGACCAGCTCTTTTATACCACTTTTTGTATTGATTTGTTACTCATTCAGTTCAATGTTTTGGTGGACTACACGTAGTTATCGATTTCTACTTCTTTCCTATAACAGATTGCAGATTTTTGGAAGGAAGCTTTGATATTAAGTTCCTTACACCATCCAAATGTTGTTTCCTTCTATGGTATTGTTCGTGATGGTCCTGATGGTTCCTTAGCAACAGTGACAGAATTCATGGTAAATGGATCATTGAAACAGTTTTTGCACAAGAAGGACAGGTAAATTGTTGTGGGATAGTTCTTATTTCACTTTCTTAACGATCGTTTGTTCTTTCATTGAATGTATTTCATGTTAAACTGCGATGATAGTGAGTCGTACTGGGATTGTGATATGACGTAAATACTACCTTTTCTATAGGACAATTGATCGTCGTAAGAGACTAATTATAGCTATGGATGCTGCATTTGGGATGGAATATTTGCATGGGAAGAATATTGTACATTTCGATTTGAAATGCGAAAACCTTTTAGTGAATATGAGAGATCCTCAGAGGCCTGTTTGCAAGGTATACTGAGCTAAATTTGTTTGTGGTTATTACTTCCTATTCTGTTTTGTAGCATACTTTCTTCCTGTTATTCGTGTCGGGACCTATAGGCTTGAATAAATCCACTACTTTTGTTCTGTTCTTTGTTTTCAACTTTTTCGATGTTTAGCTCATCAGACAACGGTTCAAAAAGTTTTTCTTTCAACTAAAAACTATAAATTTCCTCCCATCGTGCTTGAAAGCGAAAAAAGATCGAACCGTGGGGGCATTTTGTGTCTTGGGAAGCACCTGAATTCTAAGTTCACGTGCTGTGTGCATGATTTTTTAGATCGGTGATTTGGGATTGTCGAAGGTGAGACAACACACGTTAGTATCGGGAGGGGTTCGTGGAACTTTACCCTGGATGGCACCCGAGCTTCTTAGTGGGAAAAGTAACATGGTGACAGAGAAGGTAGGCTCACCCTTTTCTCATTCTTACCACTTCATTTGACTAATCACATTTTTAAAGCTTATCTGTATACTTAAACAGTTTTGGTTGAATACAGATTGATGTTTACTCATTTGGGATTGTTATGTGGGAAGTACTCACGGGAGATGAACCGTATTCAGATATGCATTGTGCTTCTATAATCGGTGAGCATTCAACTATGATAGTAACTTTATGCTCTCTTATCTATCAGCTATGCATTGTTCTTTAAACTATGAGCAAATGCTCTATTCACGGTTCGGCACAAGCGGGGAACGACCGTGAATCCGTGAAATGATTTTGAAATTTACATTTGTTTGCTGTAGTAATCTCAATGAGATCTAGGATAATTATGCACATATATGATATTGGAAAGGTACGTATATTATTTTCCATACTTGTTTAATAATGCAAAACATTATATGAAAAAGAAATGATCAAGACTGATAGTGGCGATATTTGTCCTTTTTGAGCTTTCCCTTTCGGGCTTCCCCTCGAGACTTTTAAAACGCGTCTGCTAGGAAGAGGTTTCCACACCCTTATAAAGAATGTTTCGTTCTCTTCATCTCACATGAAACTGGAGCCGTATTCTTAGGTGTCTAACCAAAGAAAGACTAATCTTTAAAGTAGGCCAAAGAAATGTAATTTCATTGTATCCTTCTTGTTTCATGTTTGCAGGAGGAATCGTAAACAATTGTTTACGTCCAGAAATCCCGACATGGTGCGACCCGGAATGGAAGGCTTTAATGTCAAGCTGCTGGGACTCAGACCCAGCTATGAGACCATCATTTTCAGAAATTTCTCAGAAGCTAAGGAATATGGCAGCTGCAATGAATGTGAAATAGTACTAAATCTTGGATACAACCAACCCATCCACTATTCCATTCATATGCTAAGCCAAAAATTGGAAAAAGACATTAAAAAAAAAACAAAACATGAAGCATAATTTTTGCAACTTTATGGCCACCTGCTGATGATTCTCAAAAGTATAAGAAGGCTATTAGATCTGATGTCATTCTCTTGTGGAATCCTTTTCGTGTTCTATACACTGCATTGCTGGGTGACTACAAGTACAGATATGAAGGAGATCCATGATAGGCAATGGGAATGTAAGCCTAAGCCTTCTCTTTTTGTCTTCTTTTCGACTTCGTGAGTATTCGGGCTAGTTTAGTTTTCTCGTACTTGTTATTTCTACTGATTCCCTGATTCCCCAATTCCCTACCTCAGGACTTCACCTGGGAGTTTGGCGTTGGAAGCATACGCCATACGGTACGATACGGTACATTTGCCATGATTTTCTGGAAGGCCTGTTTTTCTGAAATTTTTGTTTTTGAGTTGTGTGTTGGGAGTATATGTAAATAGGGTGGTGGGGGGAAGGAAAGGGAGTGATGATACTGCAACAAGCCTACAATGTACTTCCATACCTGAGATGAAACTGAATTGAAGTTATTATACATATAAATTTTGAGAAGAAAAGATGTTGGTTTGGGTGAATTTGGTTCCCATTTTTTCTATGCTGGGGTTATTTTCCCGACATGGTACCTAATACGCACACAAGATCTAGCGATCGAAGTTTTGCTTTTTGGTGATTGTTTTAGCCCTATCGAAGTAGAGTTCGGCGTCGATTCTTGAGACATAACCGAGACATAACCATCGTATCGTATCGTTACGTAATAAAGGGGAAAAAGAAAAGGAAAGAGGGTTGTGAATGGTTGGTGAACTTAGGGAAGAAGGAGCAAGAGACATGTGAGGTCATCAAGGAGTGAATGGACTTGCAATTTGTGCAAAGGGGAAAAGTGCTTGGACATTACTGCAACTACGTGCTATAGGTTTGGATAATAGGTTTGGATAATAGGTTTGGATAGTGGTTTTGATGCACTTTTTTTTTTTTTTTTTTTCTCAATATTTTTTTTCTTTAAACACAGTATTCACAATTTGTTTTACTTTAATTTTCATCAAAATATTGAAATTTTTAAACACAAAAATAAGTTTTCATGACTTGTATTTTGAAAACAAGTATAAATATCAAATGGACAAATTTTTGAACATACAAAACATTTATTATCTTCTTCATTAATATGCATTTTTACTCATATTTTGAAGAAATGTTGAAGAAATTATTGCTTTTCAATAGACCATTTTCGAATTAATTAGTACTTCAATAATCTTACTAATGTGGTCGGTGAACAAAAATAATTCTCTTATCTCTTGAACATCTTCATTCTTGATACCCCTAATTCGTTAGTTAAGTTATTATTATATCCTCTTCAAGAAAAAAATTATAATTCTAACATACATGTTGAACTAAATATAGATCGTCTATTATTAATTTTTTAAGCCTATGGTTTGATCGTGAATGATTTTAAGCCTATAGTTTGATCGTGAATGTGTAGTTTAGTAAGTTTGTTGTTAAGTCACAAACCCAACTCAAATTATAAATTTGAGTAAAAATAAAATAAATGTGGTACACATAATTATATGAAAACATATTTTTTAAAATTAGGTTTAAATCTAACCCATCAAATTTTGATTTACATTTTTCAAACCAAATTAAGCTTCCTTCAACATTTATAGGGTTTTTTTCTTTATATTTTTAGTATTTATATGGCAAGTTAAATGATTTTTTTTCATAAGAATTATGATTTTATGATTATTTTTTAAAAAGCGATGTTATATTTTATTAGAACAAAATTCAATTAGAGTTAAAACATTTGTAATTAACCTTCATTAACTATTTTACCTTCTTTAAATAATTTAATTTAAACTAAATTCAATTTAATTTTCATTTGATTTTGTAATATATCTTAAAATAATACAAACCTTCGAGAATGGTACAAGTTTTTTTTAAAATATTTTATACAGTAAAATAAATTATAATAATATGATAATAATAAAAAAATTATGAATAAATGTAAAATAAAAGAAAAGGGAAAAAATAAAAAATCTGCACAAAATGTACGAACAAATTACCCTTAAAAAAGACGATTAGTTTTGACACTAATATTCAAACAGATGATCAACATACCTGAAATTCAATTCAGCTCTCTAAACCTATCAGAGCATTACAAACACCAAAAAACAACAAAAGCCTCTCTCTTCCATCTTATTTTCTACGGCAGAAAACAGCATATCAAAGCGCAAGTCTGCACAAAAGGGACACCACAAACCCAAGTTCCAGCTACCAAATTCTAGTCAAGAGAGACAGCCAGACATACAAGCATGCAGCATTGCTGCATTACTTACCCCCCTTACTACCCGCTGATCCTCTTATGCTGTTGCTGCTGCTGCCGCCGCTGCCAAAATCAACACGCCGGAACCTCTCTTGACGCTGATACTCGGTATATCCACTTCGGTCACCAACCCTGTAAGTGGAGGTGGTTTTGAACTCATCCTTCGACCCAACTCTCCCACTTGACCTCTCCTTGAATGTTTCACCACGAGAAGCAACCTCCTTTGTTGAAGCGGTCGTATAGCTTCCAGTTTGCCTGTTGCGATCGTGAGTCCTCCAACTTTGTTCATAGCTGCTCACTTGTTTGACTTCTGCACTAACAACACCCACATATCCTATTCTTGCCACTTGTACATTCCCTTGCAATGGAGGACTGTACGAGTAGTCGTCCAAATCATCGTCGTAACTTTGGTACCCATTCCCCCATTGATCTAGCTGCTTTCCTGACATAGCTGCGTTTTTCTACCACCACAAACAAAACTAACCAGATTTCATAGTTGAAACTACAAGATATCGCTTATAAGTGTTTCAATCATCCCACATAAAAAATAGCAATAGATTCGAAAGAGAGAACAAACAGCTTCAAGCAAACGTTACTAGGATATTCAATATGAGAATCAGAAGTTAAAAAGGTCACTTAAAGCTCTATTACCACAACCCATGCAAGCATAGTCTAGGAATGTGTGATATCCTTTTGTAGTGCATGAAATACCCAGCAACAAGAAACCGCCATTTTCGAAGAAATGGCTGATTCCAAGTCACCAATCTAGATATTTAACATTTCGTTGGATCAACAGAGAACAAAAGAAGCACACGAAAATCAATGAAACCAGTAGAATAATAAAGAATAAAGAACTGAGAATCTAACTTTAGCCGACAAGAGAGAAGAGACATTAATATTTTTAACAAGGAATAAAAAGAAAAAAAAAAGCAAAACATACTTCAGTATCTATTTAGTACCCAAATTCCAGAAAGTAACACGATGTCACCGAGTGAAATGTTTCTTGGTTAACTAAGAAAAGAAATGTGATGTATCAATTCTAAAATGATGTTTCATTATTACTTCTCTCAGCACCCTCCCTTGATTCTTCCTCTCTTTTCTCCTCTTCTCCAGTTTAACGTCATCATCAGTCCATTGATCACTCAGTTTCTGCTTCTGATTCTGTTTGTTCAGTTTTTCACCATTTTACACTACAACAACAGGGAAGAGGAAGAAATTTTCTTCTTCTTTCCAATGTATCTCGTGCTACTTTCTACGTTCTCATTTTAATTTGTAGAAATTGAAGAGGAGAAATGTATCAAATCCGTAGAAGATGAATCAAGAAACGGAGAGAAAAGACGGCTGAAATCAGCAGTAATGATTGAAGAAAATGCAGTAGAAAGAAGATGGTGTTGATGATAAATGAAGAGGACGAAACCATAGATCATCAAACGCAGAGAAAGCCAAGAAAAAACCAATAGAAGAAGAAAAACCTGCAATTTACTCAAAGAAACGAAGAACACAAGCAATAATGAAGAAGAGACGGTGGGATTCTCACCTTTTGGCTGTTTCTGAGTAATCCAAGGGTTAGGGTTTTGGCATCGGGGACGACGTAGGGTTTATATAGCCAAACGGATATGATTATCTGCTTCCGTTACTAGTACATCCGGCTTCCAATTCGAGAGGTGGTGGGCCCGATTTATGTGCCGAGTAAAACCATAACCGTTGATATCCGTTATTCATGTATGATCTCCGAATATTTAGGAAAACTTTCCATTTACTTAAAATTATTTTTATTACTCTCCAAATTATTTTTAAATATACCTCTAATCATTCAAAATTGAATATTTAATTTATTTTACATTTTAAGAGAGTTCTTTCTTCACCAATTAAATTATAATATTAAATTAAGGGGATTAAATGTGCATCGTGCATATTTAATAAATAGATATTGTGATTTATCGATGCTAAACTGTATTAATAATAACAAATAAATGTTGTCATAACTTCATTTATTGACTTGAAAACGTAAATAATTGTCAATTTATTAAAATAAAATAATAAAAATATTTGAAAAAAATATCTTTTAAATTTTTAAAGTTTTAATAATACTCGTACCTTTTTGTTTTGTTGTAGTAGTAGCTCTCATCCCATGTGACGAGTCTTGGACTAGAGGGAATCTATTTGGTGCTGTTACTGACTATTGATGAGAAGAGTGTAAGATCTCACATTGGTCAGAGAGAGGAATGAAACATTGTTTATAAGAGTGTGAAAACGTATTCCTAGTAGACGTGTTTTAAAACTGTGAGGCTCACGGTAATACGTAACGGGCTAAAGCGGACAATATCTACTAGCAGTGGGCTCGAACTGTTACAAATGATATTAAGTTGAACTTATCATCTAGTTAGGATCAAGTTGAATATAAAATTGTATAATCTGAACCTCAATACCCTAAACCTATTCCATTCCAACTCATGAATACTCCTAATGCGAACGGGCACCTGTTCCGTTTGACCATCACTTTGAGATCGCTCTCATTCAATTTATGGCTGGAATTACGAATCCAGATTTGGCTCTCATGTGCCATGGTATTCTTTGCCTCATAGTCAAATTACTTACTCTTCTAAGAGTGAGTAGTATCCTCACAAACCAACACATGGTGTATCCTTATTCACATACATCATAGGAAAATTCCTAAAAGCTCTGTCCAACATAGAATTGTCTTAGCAAAGTATGCTTAATTATGGTGTTTCTATAATTGGACAACCGGAAAAAAAGTGCATCTTGTTGATATATATAATAACATTTAATTCCTTTACGTCTTTTTTAGTTATTCTATCTTCATGATCGCTCTCATTCAAATCTAGTCTCGATTCATTTATGTATCTGTCATTTACTTAGGTCACCAAGTATCGAATCTAAATTTTGAATCCTAATATGACTAGTCTAAAAAGGAACGGGTTGAGCGCCTATATATTTATTTATTTTTAAATATACCTGATGTTAAAATTAAGCATTTTTTTCTCTAAACTTCTATCAATTATCCGAGTTAACATTTAAACATTCAACTTAACTATTGACTTATATTTACCGTTAACTATAATTCAAAAATTAGTCTAAATTTAAAAAAAAAAAAAATTTATTATCTTAAATTTTCCACGTCACAATTTCGTATTTAAAATTTTGTAAAAAAGAATAACAGAACAAAGAAAAAAGGAAAAAAAAAGAGCGAATTTTGTTCATATAAAATTTTCCTCGGAAGTGACGTGGATAGAACGCACCGGAGCAGGAGGAACACGGCCATCAAAGAGATTTCGGTACTCCAGTTCTGGAGAATTTTGAATCGAATTCGAGCAGATCAGCGAGTTCCTAACTGTGAGTCTCCTCTTCACTGCTCTACTGCTTCTCCAGATTTCTCATTCAATTCATAATCCTGAGATCAACGCAGGTTCCGTCCTCTTCTAATGCCCGTTTCTTGATTTTCACGTCTCTGTTGGATGTTGAGTCTGTAGCTGCTTTTTCCAGGGATGTATTGAGCTCTGCGTTGAGATCTGATCCCTATCTATCTTCCTATCTATAACACAACACATCATTCTGCGCGCACCATGGGGATTTTGTTTACTCGAATGTTTTCTTCGCTCTTTGGAAATAAGGAAGCTCGAATCCTTGTTCTTGGGCTCGATAATGCCGGGAAAACTACAATTCTCTGTACGTTTTTTTTTAATTATCTTTTCTGCTTACATTTTGTGATGTGTTGGGTTTTTGTGATATCTGGATGGAGACTTGGCGCCATTTTGTGATGGATTCTTTTCAAAATTGTGCAGATCGGCTCCAGATGGGGGAGGTTGTCTCGACAATTCCAAGTTGGTTTTCTTTCCAAATGTGATCTTGTGGTTCTCTTTGTAATTATAATTTGATATGTGGGATACAAAGCATTTCCCTAATTAAGGTTATGAGAATTAAAATTTGAATTTTCGGCATTCAAGTTTAAGAGATTGGGTGGAGTTGCCACGATAGTTGCTGCATTAGTTTTGTAGATCATTTAATACTGTTTGGATTAGAAACAATGGTTGCCTCCTTCATTCTCTTTGGAGATTTCTGTAGTTCGAATTTTTTGTTTTCCCCATACTTTTTGTGTTCTTCTTTCTGTGGGCTCTCCATCCCATTTGGAGAAGGACAATGATCGGAAATTACATCTTGAATGATAAAATTCAACCACAAGAAGCATAGGCATCTACTTTTTTTTTTTCAATTGTTTAATTGTAAATACTGAGAAGTTGATTGGAAACAACTATGGGCAGGCCATAGATCTAGATTCCTTAAAATGATGAATTCAAACTATAGTAGTTTTGTTGTGAATTTACCATGAGAATTTTCTTTGAATGAGTTGTTTTACGTGGAAATATCAAACTAGGTTCTGCATAATCGTTTGCTTTAGATTTGTTAGTTTGTAGGTTTATATGCTGTTCCTTTTTTTTTTTTTCCTTCTGTTACTAATTTTTGAGTGGTTTCACTTATAGAGTTTTGTAAATTTTGTGGGGTATTTTTCTTTGTGTACCCACAAAGTTCTTTGATGTTCCCAATACCTTCTTGTTACACTATATTTCATATTTCTTAGTGGAAGTTTCATAAGTGAAAAGCTGAATTGAAAACAATTGTTTCTTGCATCGACTTTCCTTCAGCTATTGTTCAAATATCGTATAAACTATATCCATTTTGTATGCAGCAATTGGGTTTAATGTTGAAACTGTGCAGTACAACAACATCAAATTCCAGGTCTGGGATCTTGGTAAGCCAATCTAGGCCCTGATAGAAAGAAATGTGATCTCATGTTGTATTATTTTCTCCATGATTACTCTTATGAGATTGCAACACACTCAGAGAGAGAGAGAGAGAGAGAGAGGCATGCATTGTTCTGCTAAATTGATAAATAGGTTATGCAGGTTTATGTTTCTTATAAAAACAAAAAACAAAAAACAAAGAAAGATTGTGCAAATTTGTAATGATTTTATTCTAAATTCTACATACATGCGATTCAGCATGAAAATTAATTTCATATTAATAACATTAATGTTATAAAGCATTTGATAATACTAATTTCTTTAATAAAAAGAATTGTTATAGGAACCATTTTCATTGGGGGGACGGGTGGGGGGGATTATTCTAGCCATATGTGTGTTTGATTGCATGTCTGTGCTTTTTTACTATGACAATCTTATCGACTTGGGGCAAGTATTAGCTTCGATTATTTTGTCAAATCCATCCAAGCATCTTGGTTATGTTATTAATAGCTTTTCGTTGTCTGTAATGCAGGAGGACAGACTAGTATCAGGTTAGTCTTGTCCTTTTATCAGTTTTTGGATATTTTCCTCAAAAGTTGAAATTTGATATGTTTTCTAGTTTTTCTTTCCAATGCTTGGTTAAAATCTCTAGCTTGTAGAAACCATATCTGGTAATATTAGGAAAGACAGTGTCGAATATAATCTGTTCAACAAAAAAGAAAGTTGTTTAAGCAGGTAAAGGCATGTAGGTGGTTGTATATTGAAATTAATGATATTGCATAACATATGCAAACTTGGAAGGTTGTAAGAGTAGAAATTCATCTCAGGTTGTCATTTTTGTTTTTTGGTTCTCTCTCTCTCTCTCTCTCGTCCTTAATGGATAATAGCTTATAATTTTGTTATTTATTATCAAATGTTCATGATGGTTTTTTCGCCTAATTTTTATTAATAACGTATGAAAAAAAAAAAAAAAAAAACTCTATAGTTTACTAGAATTGTTAAGACACTCTTAAATTTGGATAGCCAGCTCTCTCTTGTCTGTGAATTTCTTTGTCCTGCACCCCTGAATGAGATACGATGCTCTTTTTTAATTTTCTCCCCCAAATATTTAAGCTGGTGCTCCCCCTGGCTCCCGCATCCATTTCCCAGATTGATGGTTTTCTCAGCTGGGAGGAGAGTACCATATATATATATATATATATATATATATATATATATATATATATATTTAATCAAAAGATAGGATAGGAGGATACTTTTCTTTTATTTTTTTCTTCATCATTTTTCCTTCTAAATGAAGACTTATTATGTTTCAACTGATAATTATGATAATGTAATTTAATAATCGTTCCAATAGTGCTTTTCAAGAAGCTATTTGATTGCACACTTACAGTAATACCAAATTCTGATTGAAAGAGCACGAATTTGAACTTTATTTGGTTCTTAGGAAATAGGAACGTGTGCTTTACATGATTACTGTTGTACGGTTATCACATTCTGTGGAAGCTTGTCTCTGTGTCTGGTCTAAATTGAGATCCATGTCTGGTTTTTCCTTTAATGTCTTTATTTTTGGAAATACTCTTGAATTTAAATTTCTTATTCACCCTTCTGTTCTTTTGATAATGAAAATATTCCATCTATTCTTTACCCAAACTAACTTATGTCACAGAGTTTCCTTCCGCAGATAGTAGTCTTGGGTTATTCCAGAAAGAAACAGGAAGTGGATACTTGACCTTGTTCATTTGAGCCTGTATCAGACTTCATAAATAGACTCTCTCATGTCATGTGTCAACAATACATTGTTTTTGAAGTTGACTAATAT